ATGGATGGATGGATGGATGGATGGATGGATGGATGGATGGACGGACGGGTGGGTGGGTGGATGGATGGATGGACGGATGGATAGATGGATGGACGGATGGACGGGTGGGTAGGTGGATAGATGGATGGACGGACAAATGGACGGGTGGGTGGGTGGATAGATGGATGGACGGGCGGATGGATGGATGGATGGACGGGTGGATGGATGGAGGGATGGATCCTTTGCATGTGTTAGAACAGGTTTCATGGATTTCATCGCTGTAGGATTTCAGTATCAGTTTCAGCTTGATACTTTAATGTAATTAGATGTAATTACTGTTATTATTACAACACCATAGCTATAAATAACTAAAGTGGCATCAATAATGACTTTTTAAGTGACAGGATAAAACTGTGTATGTTCCACCATCCGTAGTCTTGAGTTTTCACTCAGTCCACTGACAATGTGACTCTGCAGGTCCCACATCAGTGTCAGGAATGTTATCTGTGTTATGCACGAGAATATAGTTGATTTTATGTTGCAGGGACATAAATCTGCTCACACAGTCATTCAGTCACATTTCAGAGATCAAAAATCCGACATGCTTTAACATAAATCATTGCATTTAACTACAATTATGCTCTTTTTTTATCCCTGCCTCTTTTTTAGTACATAATAACCTTTTGATACAGGGAAGGTCACAGAAGTGTGTGTCTGTCTGTGTGTGTGTTGCAGGTGCTGTCGCTGCCTCATCGCAGGTTGGTGTGCTGCTGTCAGCTGTTCGAGGTTCCCGATCCAAACAGAGCTCAGAGGAGCGGCGTCCACCAGAGAGAAGTCTTCCTGTTCAACGACCTGCTTATGGTAAACGATGCACTCTGTGTGTGACATGTGCTTTTGCTTCTCACAGGGATATAAAGTCACCAGAACAACTCACTTCAATCTAAACCAAGGTTAGGTTTCAGTTTGCATTGCGCTTCTGGTCCGTCAGCTGTGGATTTAGTGGAAAACAGAGTCATTTAGTGTGACTTTGCAGAGTGTGTGTTTGGTTATTGCACCATTTAAGGACCAGTGTGACCACCGATTCTTGCACAACCTTAAGATTCACTCACATGTGAGATAAAAGGATTTTTGCATCACTGGAGCACCATTTTATCCCATAATGCTCTGCTCATGTTTAAGCAGTGCTCCAGAAATGTCAGGAAGTCTGACAGCGCGACTTTACGAGAAAAGACCAAAAAAAACAGGATTTGTCAGCGAGTTTTACCCATCGGGTCTCATGTTTCTCCACTGAGACTTTACGTTTCTGGTTTTCTCCGCTGTTTTCGTCATGCATGCTTCAACAACCTGCTCAGCAGCAAACTGCAGAGTTTAGAGTCGAGTGAGCGAGTGCAGCTGAACTGGAGAGAGTGGAGACCAAACTGCAGCTAAAGGAGCTAAAGGAGACGCTCAGTATTTGGCTCAAATTCTCAGTTTTCTGGTCAGATGCTGCTTGATTTTTGCTGTTATGTTTTTAGGCAGTGCTGCTAAGATTCAGTAGCTGAAGCAAAATCAGTAAGAAGTCCAGGGCCCTTTCTCAATTCTCAAGTACGCGAGTCCGGACTTGCCGAGAACACGAGCACGGACTCGCAGTTTGTACAATTGGAAGACCAGCGTACTTGATGATGTCACAGGTCCGGAGTTTTTACTGCCGTCCCCTCTTAATTTAACTGTGAGTAATATGTTATGAAGCTGAACTTTAATCACAGCCAAACCGATTTAATCGTGACTTTTATATCATGTTTAACCTCAGCAGTGAAATCTCTATTAATAACAATAGTGTACATGAATGTCTTAATAAAAACAAGCAGGTGAGATGTTAGAATGCTTTTATTTTTATTGTAGTGGACACTCAATACAATAGACAGCTGCTGGGGTTTGTTTAACCTGAGTAGCGAAACCGCGGGGGGGTTGGAAACGATGTGCCGGGAGTCCGCTGTTCTCGCCAGCTCTAGTGATCCTCGACCTCGCTGTCTGCTATGGAGCTGGCGGGTCACGGACGTCTCCGAAAACATCGGAGCGCGTTTGTAAATATATGATATCTTGATAAATCAAGCAGATATTTGAAGTTTACACGCTTGAAAATAACTTCAAAGTTTATTTTGTGACCCAGAAAGAGTAATATGTAAACGTTTTAGCCCCGCTCGTCCGCCATTGCCGCGTTTGAGTTTTGGACGAAATGCATTCTGGGATATTTAGCTGTACCAACTACACACAAGTCACCACCGATGCATGCTCGATAAAACGGGCGGAGCGAGAACACATCCGGGACTTTTTCGCGTTCTCGGCTTGATGCGTACTTCGAATTGGAGCAGTACTTGGTCTCCGACTGATGCCGTATCACGAGAACACGAGAACGCAAGTACGCACAAGTACGCACATTGAGACAGGCCCCAGGTTTATCAGCTGGGAGAGCTTGGTTTAGATTTCGACCTTTGACCTTCGTTTTTCTCCACTCGCTGATTCGTTTAGTCTTCACTCGCTGGTTATGGTTTGAACTCTCTGAGGGAAGACAGTGTTTTGTGTCTGCAGTCACCAGGAGCTTCCCACGGAGAGATTTTAATTATATTCTCTTTTCACTTGTTTCTTTTTTAAACTTTTTTACAGATGCACATCTGCTTGTTTTCGACACAGTATCTGTCGGTGTTTTGGTGTTTGTGTGTATTTTCCTGCAGGACTTCTTTACCTTCTTCTCCCTTATTTTAATTCCTCCTCCTCAGGTGACAAAGATCTTCCAAAAGAAGAAGACTTCTGTGACGTACAGCTTCAGACAATCGTTTCCTCTGGTCGACATGCAGGTCCACACTTTCCAAAACACCTGTAAGTACTGCTCTCTGCTGCCTCCTCTCATCCATCTTCCTCCGCCTCTCTCGTTTTAGTCTCTATGTCTCCTTTTCTTTTTTGTACTTGCTTGACTCTATTTTTACCCAGCAGTCAGCAGGCGCACTGAAAACAGTCACACATGCATGAAACACATGGTGCTGTAAATATATGAATACCCTGATCGCTGCACACGTGTTGTCTGTATGGATTTGCCAGCTCATTTCTCAGGGCTTTGCTCGATTTAAGGATATTTCCAAGCATATTTTTGACATCCCACTGAAAAAGATGCTGCTGTTGTCGAGCTACTCAAATACTTTGTTCTTTATGAGAAACTCTGAATCTGAACATGCTGAATCTCTGCAGAATTACAACGGTTTAATTTACAAGTCCTGCAACTTCCTGCTAATTTTGTGGCAGCTTTTCACATAATTGCAGGTCTCTTTCCAAGAACGTCCTACGTAATTTGGTATCGCTGATTGCAGGGGAAATGGAGAAAGTGTTAGTTGCTTCAGTAAGCAAATACGTGCTAGTTAACTTCATGTTTTAAGAAATAAAAATAAAAGTTATGAATATGGGAACTGAAAACGTTAAAAAATGTGGAAAGTCTAAACTAATGTGTCTCCATTTCCTTATATTGGAGGTATCAGCTACAGTAAAATACCAGCTGAGTTCAAAATGAAGCTTTCTTGATTTCTTTGATCATAATGTCAGACTCTCCGTCCATGCTAACGGACGAGGCTACACGGCTGCAGGTTGTCATTGTGTTATCGCTGTACTCATGGCAGAATGTAAAGGAGGTTCACAGAGGTTTAACAGATGCAGAGTTAGTACTCAAGGGCTGTACAGCTGCTGTGTGTACAGTCTGAGGGGACGGAAAGCTGCAGCGTAGCTAAGTGTAGCGATCTGGTAACAGCATATCCACAAGGAGGGTTTAAGGAGACGAGACGTCACCCTGCGAGGTGCCTGTGTCACTCAGCATGTCTGCGATGCTTCAAATAAAAACCGTCCCAAATGTCGGAGTCACGGGAATTCATCAGGATCCGTCTTTAACATTATCACAATACATCTGGTGTCTGTTGGGGCATTTCACAAGTGTTGAACCAACCAGCCACAAATGCCGTCTTTAGGTTACATCTCTCTCATCCTTTGGACTTGTGAAGATGAGTTTTTGCAGTTTGGTGCCATAAAACATCCAGACACAGCCGTCAGGTGGGTAATACATATTATACATGTCAGCGAGTCGAAAAAGGGGAAACAATAAATACATTAACTTACCTGAAAGTTAATAATGGCTTAGATATGGCAGTCAAAAGAACATGTTCTTATTTCTTATGCATTCAGTGGGTTAATAATTAAAACTGCAGCTCCTTTGTAAAAGCTTGACCAACATTTACACGACAGGCTGTGTTTTGCACGTCGCGTGCCTTCGTTTGGTACGAGCAGGACACTTTCTCTTGGATTTCATATAAAAAACAAAAATTGGAGGTTCTGTCCTAGTTGGAAATATTCTCAACAATCTGTTAATAATCACTTGGCAAAAGATTATTTTACTTCCTTTTCCAATTACAATGATCTGCCAGCCGTTTCTTTAAAAGACAGACACCGTCAGTCAGCACAGCACCAACAGCACAAGCCGTGTTTGAAAGGAACGGTGGAAGCACATCACAGGATTTCCTAAATATATGTCTGTCAACCTGAAAATGAGGCTGCTTGACAACGTTTCTCAAAACATTTTTCAATAACAACGTTAACACAGTCCTATAGAGTTATGTTTGTTTGTGTGTGTGGGCGTGTGTGGTTTCCAAGCCTCTGCTTCTTCAGCAGAGATGAATTGGCTCTCAGCTCCACGCAGCAGATTGGAGTTGGAGGTGTTTCAAATCTGCCTGAGCGCCTGTTAACAGGATCCCTCACTCAGAGAGAGAGTTCGGCTCTGAAATTACATACCCACCCCTTTCTCTCAAAGAGCCTGTATGTTTAAATATGTACGTGAAACGATGCAGAACCTCCCACAAAATCTCAGCTGACACAAAACTAAAGTCTCATTTGAAGCCATTAAATGGATCTTAACAGCTAAGTGATGTAGAAGCACCTAGAAGTGCCTACACCACCACCACTGCTGGGTGCAGTTAAAAGGGCACAAATTCACACTGTGTCTCACGCGCGTGCACTGGGGTTTCCTGATGTCCTCAGATTATGGAATCAACCATGTGTCTCACACTTTTTGAACATTTTGAATCCCCAGTGCTAGCATTTTGTTGTTTATTTATTCATTTATTTATTTATTGTTGGAGCCGGCAGTTTTCATCTTCGAATTAAAAGTGTGCAAACAGTAAACGAGCTAATAGCTGACACTGTAAGCCGTATTATTTGTAAGAAAACTACATTAAACTATTTTCCAGAGGAGACCAACTGCACGAAGATGGACGGAAAGGTTCATGACAGTGAGGAAGTCTGTCAGTGTAAGCTGCTGCACCCATAACTCCAGTAACCAGATATCCGAGTTATAAAAAGTAACCCACCTCTCAGCTTTTTGTGTCAGGCTTTAAATGTCTTTCTTTCTTTCTTTGTATAAGGTTGGATATTTTACAGTGTTTGGATGTATTCAGCCCCAGAGGTGTCCAGCTGCACACCGAGCATCCTTTGGTGACTCTCTCTGTCGTACAGGCTGCTACAGTACTGGTCTGAGGGACAGTAGTCCTGTTTTACAGAGAACACTGTAACATAAATCACAGCCATAACAGCTAAACCACTGTGGCCGGTCTCTTATTTCTGCTTTCAGTCAGTAGTTATGATTAGACAGTAAAAACCACTTGATTTGGTCAAGAAAAGATTGTTTGGATTAAAATGTGCCACTTTACGACATTAACCCTGTTTGACAGAGGTGGCCAAAATAAACACTCATATAAAAGTGCAGGTACTTGTCCTGACAAATATTCTGATGAAGGTTGAAGTACTGATTCAACTTTTTTACTGAACTACATGAGAAAAAGTACAGATGCTGAACTGTAATCAGAGTACAAAAGGAAAAGAGTAAAGTACTCTTCAAAGGGCATCTAACCAACTGATTTCAGCAACATCCAAACAGATATTACACAGACTCTCGTGGCTTTTCTTCCACTCTGTTTTGTCCCGTTTTCCTCCATCACCCCCAACTGTCACAGATGGCTGCCAAAGGTTTCTTCCTGTTAAAAGGGAGTTTTTCCTTTCTATTGTCATCAAGTGCTCGCTCATCTGATTGCTGGGGTGTTCTCTGTGCTAATGTTGGGTCTTTACATACAATATGAAGCACCTTGAGGCGTCTATTTGTTTTGATTAGGGTAAGCATCAACATCTTAAATTTAATTGAACTTTGTGCTGTCAGCTGTGGTGTTCATGTCACTGACCATGAACACCACAGCTGCTCTGCACCAGTCCCACAGAGTGCATTACTAAACATTACCACAGTACCACCATCCAGTATAGTTAACCTGCCTAGCAATTTCATGCAACATCTAAATAAACAAAATATTAGTGTACTTTAATTTCATACCCCAGCATCACATTTGCTCAAAGACGCTAAAATAAACGAGGTCCATAACATGTAAGCTTTAACTATCCAGTCTGTCAAATGTCACTGAGCAGTCCTTCCTCAGCAGCATTAGAAGATAACTCATGCTAATGCATACCGATTGGTCCATTAAGGATTTACAAAAGGAGACAGCTGTTGTACCTCGTTAAAAATAAAAAATCTAACGAGACAGTGGGAGTGTCTGTGAAACCACAGCAGAAACATTTGTGTATAAGAAGCAGCTGCTGGTGGTGGTTGAAGGTGATGCTCTGAGGAGGCTGTATGCCTCACATCATGGAGGCTTTACCGTGGCTGTTGCCATGACGTCATCAGAAAAAAAAGATTACCCCCCCAAAATGCCATTTTGTATCCCACAGCTCCACAGAGCTTCATTCGCTCTCGGGAGCATTCCTGATATAATAGAAATCCTCCTGTGTTGCTTGGGTAAAATCAGACTGCGCCTCTGCACAGCTCACGATTATGCAATCTCCTGTCATTCCTGACACAAGTGTGCATGTTTTCCAAGACTCTACTTCTTCAGAGATGAATTGGCTCTCAGTTGCATGCAGCAGATTGGAGCTGTTGGCGTTTCAGATCTGCCTGAGCACCTGTTAACAGGAAGCCTCGCTCAGAGAGAGAGTTCAGCTTCCAAATTCAGAAAGAGGTTGTTTATTATGTAGCAGAGCCGCCCACAAACTCGTGGCTTACCTAACAGGGACATTACATACCTGTAGGGAGCCATAAGATTATCTCTGAGACTGTGCCGGCACACATGGATGAAGCCTGCTCCACACACTCACATTAACTCTGAAACAACCTCTGCAGAGTCACAGGTTTAGCTGCATTCTCAATGCTCGGCTTTCTCATCTCTTCTGCTCTCACCTGGCAGTGGTGTGGGTCTTTGCAGTGTGTTTCTTGTGGCAGACCACTGTGATGTGTCCGGCAGTGCTACTAATCATGGCACAAACAGCCATTTGTATGGTTCACAGAGTTAAAGGAGCTCTTTACACAGACAAATACTTGTGATCATGTGAGACATTTGCTTTCAAACCTGTGGTCAGCATTATGTTAGAGTCTACTTGAATCTTTTCCTTAACTTAACCAACTGTTCCATACCAGAGATGTGAAGAATAGAGTTCCAGGGTTTTCATTTTCTTTAGCTTCTGTTTTTATTTCGTTTTAATTCAGTTTAGGTTTCAGAGTGAAAGGTTCTTTAACAACAACAAGCTATCAGTTTAAAGCCGTACTAGACAAGAAGAATATCCAGGGGGAGTAATCAAACCAAAGCTGTAAGAAAGCTGATGATTCTTGGTTTGCTCTCACATCATATTTCCAGCCATAAAGCAGGACTGGACAGTCTCATGAGCTGCTGTGATGAACATTAAGGTAACTGATTCACAGCCATGACATCCTAGTCTCAATAAACACATGATATAAAGATGTCCTATTTTTATTTCTCAGCATCATCATGGCTAAAACTAAACTTTGGCAGCCTTCTGAAAAAGAAAGAAGACTGTTGGCTGTAGGTTTCGTGAGACAGAGATGATAATATTTTGAGCTGTCTTCTGTTCCTTACGCTGTGTTTGACTGGATTGCATCACATTACATTGTGTCACGTATAAGTCGGTCGTTCCAGTGTCGCCTCGGAGCTCGTTCACTTGGTGCTTTTTGTTGCTGACAGTTCTGGTTCTCCAGTTGGAGCTAAATGGGTCTTGGGCGCTGATGACTGCGACCAGGACAGATTGTCCCATGTGATTCATCAGCACAGTCATGCATCAGCCGCGTGGGTGAGTGTGTTTGTGTGTGCGCACGTCGCGTGGGAGGCAGGTAGGAAGGTTTGTGTGTGCGTGTACACAAATCTTATTTTCTCAATCAGATTAATGCCGCCCGTGAGGAGGGGTGAGGCTCAGAGATCAGCACACTGTTTTCTGATGAAATTGAAATAACACAGACTGCTCCAAATACCAATTCGTTATTTTCAAAGTACAGGCTGTTAAATTACTTCAGTTTCATTACTGAACAAAGTTTAGGGTCTGTACAACTGTCAATCCAAGCAGATAAAACAATACAACATAAAACGCGCTTTAATGCATACAGTTGCTGCACATCTGCAAGCCACTTTGGAACCCACCTCCACCCCAGCTCCTCCTTTTAATGCATGTCTGCCTCCGGCTTTCCATCCATACACGTTGAGGCGTACATTACATCTGTTTGATTTGCAGAGCTTGGAGATGTGAGGAAGGATTTGAGGGAAGGAAATCAGTGCAAAAAGAGCCCTTTAAAAAAATTGAATGGATCCATCCTTCTGGATGTCCCTTAGATTAGACTCCCACTATGAACTCCTCTTTCAGGGAGCGTTACTGTGCTCTTCATCAGAGTTATATTCCTATTCTCAGCTCTGCAGGGAAACCTTATTTATGTTATACTGCAGCCACTGAGTTCTGTTCACAGCAGGCCATTTTACCTGCCTCTCCACTGTGTCTCCAAAAAATATCCACATCCAAAAAAAGAAGAAAAGACACTCTGCTCCCCCTGAAGCACGCGGGCGTGCAGCAGCGTCTTTCTTGCCTCCACAATCATCACTTCAGATTTGAGTTGCAGGTATTTTCTTTTTCATTTGAATCACTCTCTCTTTTACATATTTTGACCATTTATCAACACCAGAAAAAAAATATCACAAAAAAACGTGAGAAAGAGGCAGTCTGAACCCCAAACAGGTTACTGACAGTTTATTAGACACGGCCAGGAAGCTGACAAAGAGGAGCTGGGCTGGTGTTAGCTTAGCAGAGAAAATACCAAGGAGCTAGAAATGGAGGATGGAAAACTGGGAGTTAGGCTTGGATTTGTAAGTGAGAGCCTGAGACTGAGACCAAAGCTGGGGCTCGGGTTAGAATGAAGCAGGGAAGAGCATCGAAAGGACAAAGCAGGTCTGGAAACTGGAGGTGGGTGAACCAAAAGAAGTGCAGACAAAGGGGAACATGAGCGATTAAACAGAATTCTCAGGAGCAGAGATAACAACAGACGGCCGAACCAGGACTGACTGCTGATGCAGAGATGACATTGTGCTGGTGAGCTGGGCTGAAACAGCTGCAGCTGGTGGCACTCCGTCCCAGCTCCAGGGTACGCGCCACCAATCATGTAATCAAACATCAAGGAGGAGAGCGAAAATGGAGGGCGTGGCAAAATGTCCTCTTTAAATACTTTGAGACCATTTGAGCTACACTAGCATGACACAAATCTAACCGGATGTTGCTGACAGGTGCGCCAAATGCTAACAATCATCTAGTGGCTGGTGTTTGCAAAATTTGGGGGTCCTTTTACTTTTTAGGAAACTATTACAGTTCAAGTTAATCAACAATCATCTTTCTAACCCCCAACCATCCAGAGATCAGAGGACTAATGAGGTTGAATGTCTTTGTGTTGTGTTTCACTCAGATTATCCTCACGGTATCCGGCTGACGTCCGCGAACCCCGGAGGAGAGAGGAAGGTTCTGATCGTCTTCAACGCTCCGAGCCAGCAGGACCGGGCACGCTTCACCTCTGACCTCCGAGAGAGCATCGCAGAGGTCCAGGAAATGGAGAAGTACAGGGTGGAGTGTAAGTGTTCCTGTCACAGCAGTGGGAGGCTCAGTGGGACCTTAAATGAAGGATAATTACACAAAGCAGTACTGAAACCAGCAGTGGACACAAAGGTTGTGGTGGACGTGGTTGTAGCTGTTAGCGGTGATCGTTACAGGGACAGAACCAGATACTTTACTTTGAGCGTGTCTGCTGCACAGGTACAAATAACTATTTAATTAAAGTCGCTTCATTGGACAATTTTTTTTTTTTTTTTAAATAACCATTTTTCTGCACCTCGTCTGGGCTCTGCTCACAGGCTTTAGACAAACCTTGGCCAATCACAGGTGTTTTCATACACAGTGGAGGAGTTCCAGTAGAGCTTTGAGTCTGGAGAGCGGGGTTCCACATGAGCTGAGTATGCACTGTGGGAGGGGTGGGCGGGGCTTAGGACAGGGTGTGCCGTTGGAGGGAGACTATTTTCAGAATCTGATTTCTCATTTCTTTTCTCTTCTGGATTTGTGCTCACTGCAGCTAATAATACATCAATTGTTATACCATTAGAGTTCAGGCCGGTTGCCAGCAGTCACGGTACATGAAGAACTTCCCACACACAGACTTCACTTTGGCAGGCTGCTCACATATATTAACAGCCAAACAATTATATCTGTCAACTCATCTTAGCATTTTAGCATCCATATGTCTGCGAGTACAACACCTCCCAGCATCAGCGTGGACCGTCCTTGGGGTTTCTGAAGTTCTTTTGCTGCTGGTTTCAGCAACCGAGGAATGAGTTGCTCCCCCAGGATGAGGAAGAGCTCAAGTATCTCAATCTTGTTCACTACTGAGAGAGGAAGGGAGCAGGAAATTGACAAATTGATTGGTGTGGTGTCTGCAGCGATGCTGTACCTACCTGTTGTGGTGAAGAGGTAGCTGAGCTATCGGTTTACCGATCGATCTACATTCAGACCTTCGTCTATGGACTCAAGCTGCGGCTAGTGAGCAGAAGAATATGAGTGGCGTACTTCTGGGTTCTTAATTAGAGGCAGTGTGAGGAGCTCGGCTATTTAGGAAAGAGCTGCTCCTTCTACACATCGAATTCCTCCTCCACGCGTCCTAGGTGAGGGGTGTCAGGCATGTCCAGCTGAGAGCACTCTGGTGTCTGACAGAGAGAGCATCTCTGCTTAGGACTGCCCACACCCCAAGATAAGGGGCAGAAAATAGATGGGTGAAATTTACTGCTGACACTGTGGCTCCAGCCTTATAATTCAGTTATTTATGTGCAAATTCAAATATTTCAGTGTTATAAATGCATTGTTTAGCCTGCATGTGTTGCCTTTCAAGCCTCCACGCCTGACTTCACCAGCAGTAGATTCCAAATCTGCAGTGAACGGCGATCCAGCGGGTTGTCGTTAATGACAGCTTTCTTGATTTTCTTTTTTCCTTTCAGCTGAGCTCGAGAAGCAGAAAGGCGTCATGCGTCCTGGCGTGTTGACAGGGGGAGGACCGGGAGGCATGGGCACTCAAGGAGGCGGGGCAAACAGCGGTGGAGGAACCTTAAAGAGTGAGGTGGTGAACGGTACCCTGGGAAGGCCGAGCCTCGACGACACGTACGCAACAGTGGACGGACTCAAGCGCACGGCACTCAGCTCGTCGCTCAGAGACCTCTCAGAGACAGGTGAGGACAGGTGTACGATGCGAGGCTCACCTTGTTCACATGTTACAGATGTGTGTGGTTTTCGCTCTGCCTGTTCTGCGACAGAAGTTCTGCAGCTCCAGGTTTTTAGTATGATGTATCGAGTCAGAGCAAACCTGTGCTCTTATGCAACTGATGAAATCTAAAATGGTAAAATGCCTGTAAGATGGAAGTTTGATGTGATGCTGTGGAGCTCTGTCTCCCCCTGCTGGATAACTGTAGGAACTACAGCATGAAAATGCAAAAAGTTACTGTGGAAACTGTGTGGTTTACTGCTGTGATTTAATCAGCCAATACAAGTAATACAGCCTTCTGTTAATTAGTACTGATGCATAAGTATGTAAATATCAGGTTGGTCAGCCTCATTAATAAAAAGTTTGAACAGCAGGAAGAAGGTGTAGGTGATGACCATATAAGGGTATTCCCTTTTCATGACATCATACAGATCAAAGAGTGGAAAAAAATGTGTTTACACTGAGTGAAGAATGCATGTGAAACCGTTTTAACCTGCCTCGTTCTGATTGGGTGACAGGGAAGCGGGGTCGTAGGAACAGTGTGGGGTCACTGGACAGTACCATCGAAGTAAGTTGGGCGGGACACGACTTCCCAGCATGCCGTCTGTCACACACCCTGCTGATGCATGTTTGTCTGATTCATACCTTGTGTTTGTGAAAATATTTATGCACGTATGACGTGAGCGCTGAAACATGGCTTCATTTGTATTCATGACCCTTTTTCATTTCAGAGTTTAGCCACCGTGTTAGCCTCAAAATAGGACGGGTCAGCCTTTCTCTAAAGTTCTCTTGAGCACTGAGGCCTTTTCTGTGAAATAAGTAAAACATGAAGTGAAGAATAAATTGTAAAGTAACGTAAGTGTAAAGTTGCTCCTATAAGGCATATTTGAAAATGTTTAAATAATTGAATCACTTGTTGGAATCAGTCCACCTTGGGGCCCCATTGGTTAGTCAGCTGATTTAAGGATGACTGACAGCTTTGTGAGCCAGAATATCATGGTCAGAGCTTCGAGTTCAGGGAGCTTCCATCCTTGGGATTACAAGACTGAAGAGAAGACGCAAAACTGCTGTTCCTCTATTGGCCACTTGAGGCTCTTTAGATGCTCGTCCCTTTGGATTTTGTTATGTCTTAACACTTCAATTATCTGGTGCATGGCTGCTTTGATTGGCAGGCCTTTGTGATCTATCTTTCAGTCATCAATAATTAGTTTCCTCTGTGGCAGAAAAGCAGGTTACAGACACGTTACCTTCAGGAGCTCAGCGTGTGCATTTCTATCGTCTGTTTTTTAACCTCTTCAGAGATTCTTCTGCACGTTTGTCCTAAAATCTGCATGATTCATGTCAAGGTTTTTTTTCCATCAGAAAGATGAGATGGTCTGTGAGAATCTGAGGTAAATGCTGACCCAGTATGTTAAACTCTTCTTCTTTTCTTCTCAGGGTTCCATTATTAGCAGCCCCCGGCCTCACCAGCAGCGCCCTCTGCCTGATGGAGGTCTTTCCTACAGCCCTATCATGGTTCCTACATCTCCAGCAGCCTACCGGCCACACCGCCCTACTCAGAGCCCCGGTACGGGGGTGGGGGGTGGGCCGGGGCTCTGTCACAACCAGGGAGGGGTCACCACCTCCCCACTCGCGAGCGGGGGAGGGGTTGGGGGCGGCGGAGGGATGCCGGCAGGGGGCGGACCGACTGGCGGAGGCCGACTAGGGAATTTCTTCGGCAGCCGCAGAGGCAAAGTTCCTGGTCCCCTGACGATGACCTCACCCCCTCCACAGGGTCCCCCGAGTCCCCTGATGATATCATCACCCCCCCACTACCCCGCCCCCGCGCCTCCCATCCCCCACCCATCCTCCCCTTCCCCATGCCCCTCCCCATCGCCCAACCTCGGGCAGTCGGACTCGGGCGGCGTTGGAGGGGGAGGCGGTACGGCAGGGGCACAATCCAAGCTCCAAGCGTTGCACGCCCAGTATTGCCACGCCAACATTGGAGGAGGCGGAGTCAGTGTTACTGGGCACCAGCAGCAGCAGACACCGCCCCCACCTTACCATCACCATCACCGCTACCACATGCAGAGCGTCCCGCAGCACCACGTCCTCTCGCACAGGTTCTCCGCACCCCGACGGCAAGGCCCGTCCGGCTGCGCTCCCTCTCATACCCAGCAGCATCAGAGGATGCAACATGTCATCATTCCGCACCCGCGCTACAACATGGCGTCAGGCTTCACCACGCCGCCGCCGCTGTCCCCGCACTCCCCTGTCACCCCCATTACCCCACACGGACTCTTCCACTCGCACCCCGCGGCGGGGAGGCCAGGTGGAGGGGCCAAGCTCCCGCTGACCATCTCGCACTCGCAGCCCCACCCCCACGCTCACACACACTCTCACAACCACGCCGTGCACACACACTCCCCGCTCAGCCCGTCCCCGTCCGCCTCCCCCTCCACCCACTTCATCTTCTCCACCCCGCCACCCCAGACTCCCTCAGCACGCCTCGTCACCCAGACGCCTCCGAAACCATATACCCCCCAGTACCCACCGCTTTCGTCCATCCCGCCTCCCCCGCCGCATTCACCCTTGCCTCCCCCGTCAACCGCCCCGCTCTCCCCGCACCCCCCGGGGGTGGGGGGAGGCCAAGGGGGCGGCCCCAAATCCAAGCCCGTCAGCCGGATCAGCACGGTCGTGTGAGGAGGCAGAAGTCTAGGACAGTGGCGCGTCACCCTGCAGTGAGCCGCCGGGGGGTGGTAGTGAGCAGGAGAGGGAGGAGGAGAGGTGGAGGAGGGGGAGGACAAATGCAGCCGTATGAAAGCGGACGCCTGGTGAGGAGGAGAACGGTGAGAGCGGGGAAGAGGAAACTTCTCAGCCTGTGTTATTTCCACATCCACTTCCCCCGCAGGTAGAAAGACGCACACACACTGACGGATGCTTCTTACAGGGAGCAGATCCTCCCAGAAAAAGCTGCTCGCGGAGCGAAAAGCATCCAGAACGTGAATCATGCCGTTTTCAGTCACGTGAAGATGAAGAAAAAACACCCACATTGTCCCGATGTCTTGGTGAAAACGTCCTCATCTTCCCCCCGTAGTGCCCTTCAGAGGTGAGCTGGGAGGACATATTTGTAGTTCTTCATCGACAGGGGAAGTGTTCGTGCCACATCGTAGGAATTTGTGTGCTGTCGTGGAAAAAAACGGTTCAGGGACCAGACGTGAAGGGAACAGTGCCTGAGAATATATATCCCAAGGATTACGCCTGACATAATGTACAGAGAGCGGAGAACGAAGCGAGTCCGGGTCGCGTTTTCCAAAAAACACAGTCGTCTTACACCACCTTGTTTTCCGCACAAAAGCACTCTTGTTTTGGTTGTTGACATATTTACAAGCCATGAGGCGTTACGGACAAGCAGAGGTGGTTAGCGTTAATATGGTGCAGTTTCTGTGTCTTAGACAGGCATGCATGACCTGTGCAATAGCTAATAAGTGTCAGTGTGACTGTGGTTAAACTTCTATATGCAGGGGGAGGGAGTTGTTGTGATTTAAAGCCCCAATCCAGCATTTATTTGGCCATAAGAAGTGAAGAATACGGAACACTTGACCGTCTAGGTGGACAATAAACTTTCTAAAACCTTTAAATAAGCCATCATAACAAACACTCCAGGTGTCTTTTTACCTTTGCAAAAATAACTAAAAGCCTTTAGCGTCTGTGGATTACAGGGTTTCAGCAGGGACTGCTACGCTGTTGTTTTGGATTGGGACTTTAAAAAAATTCCCAATTATTTCCTCATGTAACGGGGATTTATTTGATCATTTGTGCTAAACCTGTGAATGCTCTCCCTTGTTATTAAGTATATATGAAAGCATAAGCCTGAATTTGTCACAAACTATAATATACTCAGATAATATAATACTGCAGCTTTCAGCTGTACTTCATGCTCCATGTTGTATGTGACCCTCTACGTTGCCACAGACGGAGATTGGGCCCAAAGCTGCCGGACAGGGAGATGAGAGCTGCGGTACCTAAACGAAGCGATGTAACTGTTCAGGTTAAGTTAAATAAGGTGTAACTCTCTCTCTAACTTATCATCTTAACAGAACTGGGTGGGAAATTAAAGGCTTGAATTTACTTTACGAAACCAACATTTTGACGCAAGACTCGTTTAATAATTCTGATAATCAAGCTTCATCACAGCGTACCAAAAGTTTCAAATGTTTCATTTCTGTTGGTTCCTTTTTGTTTTGCTTCACAGCAGAACGTTGATCACTGATGAGGCTTCACTACATTATGTTAAACATCTTCAGATAAAGATCCTTGAAATCAGGATTAGGAGACAGAGCCGTAAAGAAAAGAAATACAAGTGATGGTCTTTAGATGCACAGACAGATATTATTTAGATTATTTCAGGAGAGTACTTTTTTATTTTCAATTGCTGACATCCCCTAAACTCATCGCGTGCAGGTGATCATAAAGTTATTGATTTGAAAAGCTGGCAGCTATGAACAGACTCATGATGTGTGATTGTGTGTTTAACTGCATGAGTGAGTGACTGAAGTCATTTGTCACAGCAAACCAAAGACGACAGTGAAACGAAATTCAATAAAACTCGCCAGGTTTCATTTGTAATAAACAAGATTTAGACAATCAGACTGGATTTTTTAAACTATCAGAACTTCCTCTTGTCCCGCTCTCTTTGTTACAACTCTTTAAAGGCACGTTTAAGGGTTAAGACTTTGCTTTAGCTTTGGCACTTAGCAGAAGAGGAGGCTTGGAAGAATGTTTCAGTCACACTAGGGCAAAGACACTGTGGCACCACCACTTGTGACCTTGTTGCCTTTGAAGTGGTTGTTTCAAAGATGGGGGCCAAGTCTCTAGCTGCCATCGTCAGAGCAACTTTGGTGCATCGAGATATCGATAAAAATGCAATATGACGAGTCGGTCTGCTATCGATCTGCTGCCAGTCTGTGACTGAATGAGGCGTTTACATGCAATCTGTTTGTGATCAGTGCAAATCTGCTGCCATCGACAGACACAGAAGTTCACATGAAATCCTTACAGTCGAACCTCATTGATTTGAAACAGAAATTCCGAAATTCCTTCACAAGTAGTGACGTAGTGACGATTTAACTCCAGAATGACGCGGGTGTAGGAGCTTAACCAGAATGCAACCGCCACCAGAGATGCAGAATATGTACGCCTATCAGGACAGGCTGACTCGGGCTGATTAACATGTCTCTGTACAAGCCTTCACCAGTCAGTCTGAGCCGGACTGCAATTGTTTGGAGACAGGTGGCCTCCCATAAGGAGGTTGCGGTCCCAGTTTTAGTCCAGTGTGACGGAGTCATAGAATTAAATATAGCAACTCAGGTTAGTCTTTACTGAGGTTCAGACAAGTGGGTCAAAGGGTGTTTTTCCAATAAACTTGATACAGCCGGCCTTTGTTTTGGAACCAGACTAGTTGCCCTCTGACTGACTGCCGTCAGAAATAAATTGGATTTAAGGCGCTTCAGCACCTACGCCTGTTTTCATATGTAATGAGTAGAAAACACTGGTAACAAGGAGCAAGCTTTATTCAAATAAATAAGAACCTACTCATCCAGATGATCTCAGATTCACCTCTGCACTTACTTGGGTTCTCAGCAGTAGTTAGAAACTCTCTATTATTTTACTAAGATATAAAACAATTGAGAAAATATGATAAATGGAAAATAAGGGTTAATTTCCCACCCAGTCCAAACTGCGTTAGCGTGTGAAAAACTCGGAGGGTGAATCAACTTTAATCCCATTTGATGTGTGGCAAAATAGAGAATAAGGTGCCTTCAGACATAGTGATGGTACAGTATAAATAATAATGCTCACAAAAGACCTCCATGGAATACAAAGACAGTTCAGCGTCTAAATCAATAATATAATGATTTGTGTCCATTCAAAACAGCAAATCGAAGCCATTTACTGCATTTTTTAAAAGTCTGGCTGAAGGACTGAGCCGCTCGTCGCCTTGTTCATCCAACAAAGACACAAAGGAGCCTGAAACCTGGACCGAATTTCATTCGAAGGACTCGCTAACATCTCACAGGACTGAAGTGCAGAACATGTTTCCGTGTCACACCGAGTGAAATCTTCTTGAACAAACTCATTTTTACACATTTTTGCACTTTGAGTTCAAATCTACCATGCCAGTATTGAAGTGTATTTCCTTTCCTTTCTTCCTTTAATCAGTCTCACCGGATGTCAGGGCAGGAGGCCCGTGATGGCTGGTAGAAAGTTCTTCCACTGCTTGAACGATTTTACCAGCCATTTGCATTTTTTGACTAGAAATGAAACTTTCAGTGTTGGTTGCTAGTCAGCCTCATATAAATATTTGCCAGAGTTTAACTGGTGGATGATGGGAAATTCCTCTGAATGCAAACATTAACGACATATTTTTAGTCTCCCCGTGATGACGTGAATGCACCAACTGTAGATATTAACTGTACAGTGTGTTCTATTTTCAGTGGGGCCAACAGCATCAATCTGTAACTGAGGTTCAGAATTGTTTGAATTAACAAAACGTGTGCTCTAAAAACCAAAGTTCATCTGGGTTCTTCGGGCTATTCGGGCTTCTTCGTGAGAACAGTAAAGCCCTTAATGTGCGAGGTTTGTGGGAATACAGTCACATATTGGAATCGTTTGACGGCGTTCCTCAGGGAACCATCTTGGGTTCCCTGTTGTTTTCAATCTGAAGAACCCCTTTGACTTTTTAGAGCGTGCTACTGATATTATTATCAATATTGTTGTGTGGCAAGCTTCTACTAACATACTGTACTCCTTGGGCTGTTTTGTATTTTTAGCATTTTTAATTTTGTTATGTGCTTATAATGTGAGATTTTATTTCTTTTCTGATTTGGGCATCTTATGGAAGTATTCAATCCTTTTTAATTTTAATATATTTAAAAAAAACAAACAATAATGATTTTCTGTAACTGACATACAAGTTCTTCTAATATTTTGATTATAGACTGTGATAATTACTTTGACTCAACCCACAGCATGCTCAAGCAAACACACGCCTGCACACTGAATCATCACAAAGCCTCTCTTCACTCTTTTAATGGAAACAAGCAACACCTCTGCTATCAAACAACATTGAAATTAACACTTCATGTTGAGCTGCTAAGAATTTTTGGACCGTAGGGCCATAGCATGCATCTACAATCACCTGCAGAAAGACTTTGTCTCTTTCTAAAGGCCTTACAGTAACCACGCCGACTCCAGACTAAAGCGGCAAACACCACAGAAACATCAAAACAAAGTTCTCGAGGAGCACTGGATCAAACCTACCTCGTAAGGGAATACACAGCATTTCACTCAGTCTCAGTGCATGCCCAAGCACATCCTCAGTAAACATCCCATCTTAAAGCTCCATACCCCTCGTTTGCATGTTTATGAACTTCAAACCGTATTTACTTTGTGTTACGGCGCTACCATGTTGAGATTTGTTACCTTCCTACGTCCACTGTTCGGTTTAAGTTTCACTTGCAGAGAACTTGACACTTGCTGCAGATAAATCATCCATCACTGGTAACATCTGTGGCCCAGGGGCCAGACCATTCCCACTACACCAAAGTAATTACATAAAAGAAACAGAGAAATGATTGTAAAGTTCCTGTTTTTTCACTTTCCGCTATAGAAATTTCAGTTGTTTGTTTAGGTTTGTTTTACAACAGGTCCACAGTAAAAACAAAAAAGAAATTTTAAAAAGTATATATATATATATATATATATACACACACACTACAGGCTGATTACTGTCTATTCGCCCCATGGCAGGCATGACTGGAAACAGCCTATAATAGTTACACTGCTGGATTGCTGTGTCAAACTTCACCTGCACGTGTCAGATTAGATTTCTCTCGTGTTTGCTAGATTTTGCCTCCACTGCCTTAAACTGTGTGCTTTCTAAATTCTTTCTAAATTGCCACTTGGTCATCCAAACTGTGAGAACCCCAGATTTAGTCTTTGTGGACCAAAACAGTAACCGGTGACATATAAACGTCCTGGCGAGTCGTTGCCCACCATGTGCCAAGTGTCTGTGGGTTAGGGTTAGGCCAAAATCTGCTTCCTCGTGTTTCAAGGCCACTTTTTTTGTTAGTTCTTGGATTGCTTTGCTACCATCGGAGGCCGTCGGTGCAACGCTTTTGTCAGGTCGCTGTCAATTCTTACACGCAAGAGATAAGAACAAAACTCACTGTGGTTGATTAGTTATCTGCAGCAGGATTCAAGTGTCTGTGAAGACATGAACTTGCAGTCTGGGAGGACACAAATCTGCTTAAACCGCGTCGGGACTCTTGTGAAAGTAATTTACAGTTTAAGAACATGCAGAAAAAAGCAGGTATGGTCCTTTAAACGCTTAAATTAGGTCTTTTTCTCCTGCCCGGGTCTGCTCTCCACTATCGGTTTGCATGTGGTATTTATTACAGTATCTGCACTGAATGAAACTGTATTATAACATGAATGTACATAGCAGCCGTTAAATGAAAATAACATTGCGAGTACTCACTTTGCTCAGTTTGTCTGTGGCTGGGTTTACACTGGGAATGGAAGGTCTGATGTTTTTTAAACACCTGGAGAAACAGATCTGGTCTGACTGCAGCAGGCAAACAGGGAACATTTTTCAAGATTCAAAGCACATCAGATCTGCTTCAAGTACAGTTAAAAAATGTTGGATGATTCTGTTCCTGTGTAAAGACAGTCTGTGTTGTGTGCATCTATACAATGGCGTTGGACGGGGGGCGTGTCCAAGCTGCTGGACCGCTTTCTGGAGAGGACATATTTCTTGTTTATAATGTAGAGCAAAGAGAGACTGGAATAGTCCTTGTAAAATTGTACGAGTAAAGTGTCAAATATGTGTCAACAGAGACGACATTATTTTAAAAATTACGTATGGAAAATTTTAGCTGTGTATATAAATATATATTACTTGTACTTTGTTTTTGAAATTGCAGAGAAATGGAAGAAGTGGAAATATTTATTGCTCTAAAGATATAAAAATCTGTTCATGTGGATGGAAACACGTGTCCTCTTTGTTTCACTGATTTCTCATTCAAGTGCTGTTTCAGCGCAGCGTGACAGCGGGTGGAAATCACAATCTTCATCAAACTTCATCATAAAACTGTAAATCTGTTGCTGCCTATATACGCAAGAAGTCACATCACATTAAGAGTCCAATCAGAAGCTGGTAAAAATAATAAAATACAGAAATTCCTACATAAATAGTGACGTAGGTGCTCGCCAGCCTTCTATATCGGAAAATAACGAGAATGAAATTTCCTCATTGTGGGTTTTTAGTGTCCTGTTTTTTACTCCATAAAAGAAGCATTTCAGCTCCTGCCTCCTTAAGACCAGGTGGTTGATTATACTTTTAATATTTCATAGGAACAGAGAGAAAAAGATGCATTTCAGTTTGTGGCTTTCGTCAGTGTTTCTGAACGTAATTCTTATTTATAGCTTGTAATTCTTCTTATCAAGCCAGTGACAGGAGGATCCAACCTGCGACAGTCTCCCAGGTATGGAGAGAAATTGAAGACACTAAATGTGTGGATCTACATAAGGATCTGCCCCGACATCTGCCTGCATATGGATTTGAAAACTGGTTTCCTCTCATGGTTTTACAGTTCACACATGGACAGTCCAGTTTCTTTTTGTTGTAACAACCTAACCTCCAGTCCACCCAGCATTGTGTGTATTATCATCAATATTCTCATCAGCTTTTAATGTGAAAACATAACAGTTGGTTCTCACACAGAAATTTACCAAAAAACGTGAACTGTGTGAAGCTTTTTCAGATAACTAAATTACATAGTCTAAATAATCTTAGCACAAAAACTGAGGAAATTTGTGTTTGGTCAAACATTAAATCTTATACTATTGGAAAAACTCTTTATTTCCCCTTAAATGGTGACACATTTGTGGCAGGGAAGATGTGTTTTTCATGGGTGCAACCCACAAACTCAACACTGCTGCTCAACCCACACATGCACCATCCTCACAAATATGGCGCCATTTAAGGGGAAGTAAACAGGTTTTTACATGCGGGAAGCATTGTTACAGCAAAGAAACAATCGACCGATTACAACTTTGCATCAAGCATTATGTACTGCTCATATCGGCTCTTGATAAATATTCAAGCGTTACAGAAATGCACTGTGTAATTTGTTGAGAACAAAAGGTTTTAACAACGCTTAGTGGAAAACAACATCATAAAATGTTTTGTTCTCTTATTGTATTTATTTATTTTTGAGCAGTTTATATTTTTTATTCTTTCAACAACCTTCAACTTTATCTAAATATCTCAGTCTGGCCCATTTTTCCAGAATGATTCATTCTTTTAACATTTTAATGAAAATGTTAAAAAAATGTTTTCAATTTTATGTGATTTATTGAATTAATTTTTTTTTAATTGATTTTGAAAATATAAAATAATAATCTTCCGTTTCCGGTAAACCGGAAGTTCTTCTTCTAACTCCTGCGCGTGTGCAGGTTGTTTAACAAAGTTCATAAATGTGGTGAGTTACGGTCATTTCAACATAAATTACAGATTATTTTCACGCAGTGGTGACCTGGTGGACTTGTTAAACTCACCTGTGCGGCCGCAGAAGCTGTCACTTTGTACAAACGCTCATTTAAAGCTGAAGATTTAACA